TTTTAATTTTCTTTAATTTGCGTCAAAGTCAAAATTATCTTTGTTTATTCCAAATTTTACCCAAAGCTTTTGTAATTAAGCAATTCAGTCCATGGGTTTCAACTCTTTTCAAATTAGTCCTTTATGTTGTTAATTTAACCAAATCAGTCCTTCATGTTTCGAATTTAGTCAAATTAGTCCCTTTAATTTTTATTTGTGTTTATTGTGCATGCATGTTCTTGATTTTGTCTATTTCAGTCCAAAAATAAAAAAAATGTTTTGATTTGGTTTATCTCTTTTTTTGAGTTTGCTTATTAAGACTCAAACATAAATGTAATAAATAAGTTGAATCAAAACCCCTAATGTTAAAGTATGCAACCGTGTTTAAACGGAGGATTGTGAGGTGCGCGTATGCCCTTCCTCACTCCTAACTGAACCCCCAAACCCCGATCTCTGCGCAGACCCGTTTTAGGTGACTTGTCCCACCTTATAATTTGGACGAGTGGCAACTCCCTTTTTCTTATATATTTCACACTTGATTTTTTCAATTTATTTTGAAAAAAATCTCAAGTGGTCGTCAACAGGAACAACCTCGGGATTTTGTAGGACTACTTGGAGAGGAATCACATTGAAGGAAGAGTTTGAAGGTTTTTTCAGCAACAACACAGGGAACCACCGCCCCTCTGGTCTGCATGTGGCTCAGCCACTGTTGACAACGGTAAAACTAGGAGTGTTCATATCCGATCCAATCCGATTGATCCGACCTAAACTGATCCAATCCGATTAAAAACCAAACTAAACCGATATAAAATTGGGTTGGTTTGGATTATAAAAATTTAAAACTGATATAATTGGTTTGGTTTGTAGTTTTATTTTCAAACTGCTCGAACCGCCTGATTATAAAAATTTAAAACTGATATAATTGGTTTGGTTTGTGGTTTTACTTTCAAACTGCCCGAACCGCCTGATTATAAAAAATAATCTGATTATAAAATAACTTAATTAAATAATATAATATTTTTATAATATTTCAAATTTGTTTTTCTTATTTTACAAGATAATGACTCTATTGATTTAATTAAAAATAAAAATAGCATATCTTATATTTCCTAATTTATTTTTTCTTTTTCTTTTTTAATTATATACCTAAATTTTAATTCTAAATTTCAAATTCCCTTACAATTCTACCTTTATAAGTGAATTATAACTTTATTCTTAAAACCCTACCTTCTTAAGTAGCGTGCACTTACTAAGGTTGTCGTCTTCATTTTGCTAGGATTATTCTTAAACACATAATATGGGTGTCGACACCATGAGTTAATAGTCCAGAATCAAACTTTTTGTTTCTTGTTTTATGTCGTTACGTAATTCAGAGTATCAGCATTATACGTTGAGCATCGAACATTCAAGTTTCTTATTCTGCTTCAAATCATACTTCTATTTCAATTAGGGTTTCTAAAACCTTATAAATACCCATCCAAATTTAGAATTAAAAGAGCTTGGGAGGCTGTTGGCAGCCCTCTTTTGGGTATTCTTGGAGATCAAGATAAAGATTTAAGAATTTGTTTATAATTTCTAAATCTTTTTAATTTTTACAATTGTAAAAGGGTATAAGAATTTGTTTGTAATTTATACTTTTTTTAATTATGTTTCTATTTATTTGGATATTAACATATTTTATATTTATGTTTTTTACTTAATGTTAAATTTAGTTACATTATCTCATATATTTAATAGTGTTAAAAACCGATCAATCCGACCGAACCACACTGATCCAATTTAAATTGGATTAGTTTGGTTATCATATAATAATGGATTGGATTGGTTTAAAAGTTTTACTAACCGATTAAATTGGATTGAATTAAAAAATATTAAAATCCGAACCAAACCACCCCACGAACACCCCTAGGTAAAACGCAACGGGTAACAAAGTAGTACAACAATCGTGGATAAAATAGGAAACAAAGTCCGGCAGCAACAGTGCGACGCTCCTGTGAAATCCCTAGAAGGAGCAAGAGAACAATAGATCTCAGGAATGATGATGGGCTTGCATTGTAGCAAGAGAGATTATTCTACCAAAAAAAAGCAAGAGAGATTTTTTTTTTGGTAAACACCAGATTTTGCAGTGTGTGAAGTCAAGTAGTTGGATGAAGAAGGTGAAAATGAAAGGAACTGGCACTGTGGAAGTGAATTGAAAGGTTAAAAAAATTTGATGGTATTGATTGTTTTGATTACATCAAATGATTTAAGTTAAATATGTCATAAAAGCTGATGTTTAATTTTCGAGCAACTCCTAGGGAATGTTGATGTTTAATTAATATTATCATCCTTATTCACAAAAAAAAATTAAAGAAAAGATTTAAATTAAAATTAATTTTTATATAAAATAAATACGTCATACAAGCCGGACCCCAACTATAAAGTTTAAATTTCAAAAAGAACTACTACAAAAATCCAACAATA